TTTGCATTAAATCAACCAATCTTATAGTCCCATGATAGAGACCTTCTTCCATATAGATGTCCTACAAGACACTCATGGATGCCTAATATATATGATTTTAATTTTTAATATATCTTACTCAAGAGTATATTATATTTTAATTAGCCACTAATTAATAAGAATTGAACCCATGCCATTTTCTTGAATACCACATGTAGCACACCTTATTTCTAAAAAAGAGGCAATTTCTTGATTGCAATTGCAATAACCCTTATTGGCTAAATTGAACAGTCCAAAAAGTTGATATTTATTAAGACATGGTTAAAAAACAACCCTTTGATAGTTACCCATATAAGACAAATGCCATTGGCTAGATTTGATGGTCCAAAAAGTTTGGCAACTCCTTATGATTATAGATTGTTATGCTACCAAAACATTCTAGGACGAATTTTTTAACAATCAATTATACCAATGCTTAGTAAAGTTATTAATCAAATGCATATTATCATAGATTAAATTTAATTTAAAATTAAAGAAAATCTTAATTAACTCAGCCAAATTATATCTGAGAGAAGAAAGAACTTGGTTTATGACCAATTCTAACTAGGACAATAGCAAAGTTCAGTGTTTACTTATTTACTATTTACACCACTTTACTAATTACACAACTAGACATATATTCAGAGCAAATGCATAATAAAATAAGTACTCTATATGATTTCTCTAGGTTCATAGCTCACTCTAGATAATAACTGTTAAGAGGCTTTCAAGCTAGAGAACAAAAGTTCTTTGGGACATAGTTTAATAATGATAATGTACATTCTTTAAACACTTGAATAAAGAGAGCTTGAGACTTACATAAACTTTAGAGTCTAGATGTGAAAGGTTGTTCATAATTTTCTTTCCCAGCTTCTCAAGACCTAGACTAAGAAAAAGAATTACAAGGAGCTCTTTTGAAGCTCTTCATTATTAACTGCCCCAGATCCATTTTTACATTTATCATCCTCATATGTACTTTTGGGGTTTCAGTAAATCACCTTTGTGCTAAACTTTGCTCCATAAAAACCCTAGGTAGTGATGACCACAAGAAAACTCCCTCCCCATTCCAAGGATTCATATGTTTTAGGATAAAAGCTTGAGAGGTAGCACCACCACTAATTGATCATACCCTAGATGGATGAATAGCTATTGCAGCCCACTTGCCTCAAAACCTTTACAGAGCTGCTAACATAACCTAATCTATGTGAACTCTTTTATCACATCAAGAATGGGGAGATCTTACCTCACAAATCAATTCATTTACCTAACATACTCCATTTGCATTGATGTCTTGAAATTGCAAGATCTCTAATTGCCACATTCTTGCTCACTCTCACTGATCATACAAACACAGACTCATATGCAAGAGTAGGCACTTGTCATATTTGTGTCTTACCGAGCTTTGTCCAATAACAAACAAAGATGTTATGATCCTCCCCATGGATAATGGGTTTATGTGTGTGTGTTCTGAAAGTAACCACAACAACCTGAAAACAGTTGTGCACCTATTAGCAGGCAAAAGATCATCCTGATTTTTCTAAAAACCATAGAAACCAAGGTTGGTCCAAATATGTGATTTGAGGGTTAGGGGAGCCTCATAAACTCCTAAATCTTGAACAACTATTGTTGCAAGATTGAAATGCTGATTAGGTCATAAAGAAACAAACCACATGTATAGTGTTTCTGTCTATTCTTGCCAACTAAGCTGTGCTGGTATTTCCAAACCATCATAACATTTTTCTCAAAACCATAGCTACCAACACTCTTCTAAACCTAGCCCAAACTGAAAATGGACGACAAAAGGGAGGTTGGGAAATCCTTATATATTGTGGACCCACCAAAGAATATAAATGTATAAAAATTATAACTTAAATGAGTTAATACCTTTTTGGTATTAAAGTAAGATTATTTATATAAAAATGGATAAAGGTATAACAATCCAAAACACCTTTTTTCTCAGGAAAATCAGAAAAAGATGAACCAAACACTTTGTAGTGTCTTTGTAGAAAATTAAACTTATGCCAATGAAACAGAATGTGAAAAATTTTGCAAAGTGGAAAGATGAGAGTGCATTGTGTAGTGTGACATAATGGACATGTCCAAAACATGCACATTGTCATGGGCAACCTAGTTGCCACAGCTCAGAGAAAAGCCACCCCATACCACAATTTAACACAAAGATTAAAAAAAAAACAATTAACTTACCAGTACACACATTTTGCAAATTCTGTGGGAGGCAAGTTCTTGGTCCAGTTCATGCTGAATAGTATAAGTTATTAGTAATACCCAAGAATTCATCTCATAAGGGTTTCATGTGGCAACCACTATGCTATGGCATTGCTGTAGGAATATGGGCAGGTCAAGGATCTTGTTGTTGGTGCTAATGGAGTTTGCTCGGCAAATGAATTGATTCGCGACAAGATTCCAAATGAGAGTGGTGCTAACGACAAAGTTGAGAGTGAAAGTTTTGAAGTTTCTCAATCACCATCAAGGTTATTGATAGTGTGGTTTTATTTAGATTTGGTAGTGGACACCATGATATGAAGCTTGATGTGTGGCCCAAACAGCTAGAGGTGAAAGGAAGAGTAAAGCTAGGAGCCTTTGCTAAGTTTCTTACAAATCTATATAACACAAAATCCAGAATAGTCATAGTATGTTTATGTTTTCTTTTACAAAGAGAAATCTTTAGCTTTCTCATGTTTATTCTTGAAGTTTTTTATGTAAGTGATGCCTTTTTACTCAAGTGACATGGCCATATCTTTACTTTCACTTCTCAAAGAGGTAAAAAAGTTCCTATCTCTTTTGTGGGTGTAGAGAATTTTATTTAGGAGTTCTTATTGTTAATGAGAATTCTTTTGAAGGCCAAAAGGCATGAGTTGTGGGTCTTGTTGGAGAACTGGAGTTGTGTGATTATTGAGTGTCATACTCTGTCAAACTGGATTATCCAACAAAACTTTAACTTCAAGAGTAGATGAATTGGAGTTATATTAGAGTTTTCTTTTGCAAAGTTGCTGAATGAGGTGTTAGACTATGAAGGCTTTGAGCTTTTAGCTCTCTATATTTGCCAATGTTTTGAGTCAAGATTATTATTGTCTCAGCTTAGCATATGCTTACCATAAATGAAAGCCCAGCTAACCCCGCATTTGTATGCCATTAACTGTAAATCCTAAACCCTAAAAAAAGATACAACCGGCAAGACCCACCCATGGGTGCAGCACCGCCCCATGGCTTCCAGGCCAACACCTATTATTGATAAGAGACCCCCTGAAGAGGCTGAACCATGTTACCACCACCAAGAGCAAGAGGCAGCAATAGGACTTTGAGGAGTTAAAATGTGTCTACCCTTTGGAGTTCCACAAAAGTAGTAGGAACTTCAGTGCAATCCTTGTACAACTACTCTCATCAAAGAGCATATCCCATCTTTCCAATAGTTTTACTCTTGGGAATAACAATATTCTTTCATACCTTCTAAATATCCCAAGAAAATTGAAGGTCCATACTTCTTCCATTAAAACTCATTCTGATTTGCAACGTGGAAGCCCTCGTGGCAAATAGGAATGGATGATGTGGCAAGACAATATGAACCAAGAAAAAATTCTAAGTCTCCATAAGGTCCGGTGATGATCCCTCGCACATTTGTCTCTGAACACTACCTGCTCCAGGTCCGCCTGGATCTCGCCTTCAAGGAGATAAGGGCAATTTTCCCTCCCCAAGGATCTTGCTTGATGGTGCTAAGCGCTGGCTGCATTCTTGGATAAAATGTGGAAGTGTGAGGATGATTCAAGCGATCATCCATGGTTTTGAGCGCTATGGAAGCTTTGGCTGGTGGGTGGGGAGTGACGAGCAAGCCCTGGCTATGGCGAACTAGATCACTGTTCGGCAGTAGGAGCACGAATCAAGCGCGCAAACGTCCGGGTGGACGCCCTCGAGGTCCATGAGCCGGAAGAGCTTGAGCGCGGACCTTGGATCGCCGTGCTGGGCGTGGGCCGAGATCATCGCGTTCCACGCCGCGAGATCGGCATCTCATCGAAGACGAGGCGCGCACGATCGATCTGCCCTCTCTGCGCCAGCGCCGCGATCATCGACGTCCACGAGATCAGGTCCCTGGCCGCCATTTCCCAGAAGAAGCGCTCCCCGCGGTCGAATCGCCCGTTGCGCGCGCACGCCGCCACGATCGCGTTCCAGGCCGTCACGTCCCTCTGCGCCATCGCCGCGCCCAGATCGCCGGCCTTGCTGTACATGTCGAGGAGCGCGGTGGCTAGCACGGGATCGTCTAGCGATGATCCCTCGAGAGCGCTGCGATGGATCAGCTACCACTAACAAGATCGCCGCTGGCAGCGCGGGTGCTAAGGATCCCCACGAATGTGATCCCGTCCGGCCTTGCGCCCTCGAGATCCATGCCCAAGGAGGGGATTTTCTGTACGGTAGATCTGTTCTTGCGAGGGTCCCGGAAGCAAGCGTCGTGTCGTACACTATTTTGATCACCGGATGCGTAGAGAAGGGTATGATTCTTCTAGCAGAAGATCTGTTCCTCCATTCTCCTGAGAATGATGTGGCGTCTTGGAACGCTTTGATCGCAGCAAATGCCCGGCATGGGCAAATGCGTAATGCCATCGATCTCTTCCCGTGAGGAGGATGTTCCACGAGATAAGATCTCTTTTGGGCATTTTTGCGAAGAGACCTCTCGTGGAGGCCGCGCACCCGGTCTCCCCGTAAGCCTGGAGCATCGTATCCCAGGAAACGATCATCCAGTAGGGGATCTTCGCGAAGCACTGCTCCGCGAGCTCGCACTGGCGCCCCAGCGGATAGGACGTGATGAGCGCGTTCCAGGCCACAGCGTTTCTTTGCTCCATCTCATCGAAGAGCGCCCTCGAATCCTCGAAGCTCCCAGCCTGCGCAGTCGTCCACGAGAAGATGTTCGTGGAGGAGGCGAAGATCTCCTTGGCAGTGGCGACATCGCCACTCGAAATTCTCGCTGATCAATGGCATTTTGTTCGCTGGTGGGAGCGCAAGCTTGCAAGATGGTCCTTACTACCGCGCCGTCAAGCTTTTTGTTCTTCCCTCTTGCTTTAGCTTTGGAATGCTTCTTGTTCGTTCTTCGTCCATTGTTTTTTCCAGGAGTATTCATGCTAGTGACTTTGCAACTAGAGTCTTTGATTGTTTAGTTTGATCTTGTAGAGGGCACTGGAAGCAAATGATAAGGGAGATTATTTTCCCGTCTTTGGGACGTGCTTGGGTCTGGAACTTCTAGCCGTGATCGTCAGTGGCAACCATTCCATCCTGGACGATTACAACGCACACAAAGCTGCTGGAGAGCTAAACTTCGTGGGCGACTGGGCCAAAGAGCGCAGCATGTTTACCTGGTAACGAGTCAGTTCTTTGTATGTGCTTGTGAAATGTTCTTTGTCCAGGTTTCCTAAGGACATTCTGGATAAGGTGGAGCACGAGAAGCTTGCAATGCAGAATCACATGGTAAGGTTCTCAGCACTTACTTTATGTTTTCTTCTTCTCATTTCTTTGGCTTGGATTGCAGAAAGGTCTATCTCCACAGACTTGGAGAGACACACAGAGCCTTAGAGATTTCTTCGACGTGCTAACTACAACTCCTGACCTGAATGGAAAGGTAATTCTCGGTGCCAAATCTCTTGAGCCATCAGTTCCTTTGGATTTTCAGATATATATTTCGAGGATTGAAGGACGCAAGTATCCAGTAACTAGTGTGCAATGGCATCCCGAGGTAGAGCTTTTCTCGTTTTTCACCTCTTTGTTTAGATATTCTCTCGATTTTGCAGAAGAATGCTTTCGAATGGGGATATGAAGGAATACCTCACTCTCCGGATGCCGTTCGAATTACACAGAGCGCTGCGAGCTTCTTCGTCAGTTCTCATTAGACAGGATAAACTGTCGACTGTTTGTCTGAGTAGCGAGGCTCTGAAGTCAAGCCACACAGCTTCTTGGGAAGAAGAAGAGCAGCTATTGATCTACAACTATTCGCCAATGTATTCTGGACGAGACGGGTACTTACTCCCATCAAAATCTAAAATCGCTCAGAGCCTCTTTGTACTGTGCTTGTAGGAAGGGACACTTCGATCAATCTTACGTCTTCTGTCTGATAATACAAATACTGTTATTTTATCTGAGGTCTCTAATCCGTTGTCGTCTATTCCGGTCAGATGCCTGGCTTTCATCCAGGCGACCCTAGTTCAAATCCCGTCAACGGAATTGTATTTGATCCTCCCCGCAGAATATCCCACTGGATAAGCTCAACTGGCTGTTTACTTGCAGCCAGGGAGGACGAGTACGAAAGTTGTAAATAATCTGCCCTGGTTCGATGCTAGATGATGGTTGTGGTACACGGGAAATAGCTTTTAGTTCTTCCAGCTTTTCCAGAGCTACAGCTCTCCATGTGGAAGGGTATGGCGTGCAATTCGGAAAAGAGTGGAAATTACAAGTGTATTTCACTCATAATACGTGTTTGGCTGCTATTGGTCCACATGTAATATGAGTGTGGAAAAAACACAAGCATAAAATATTTCACAAATATCCAATCCTTATGCCACAGATGGGGCTTCATGCCCATAGCAATGGCCTATGCTATGCTTGGGCTCACGCAGCAAGAGCTTGCACAGATGACAAGCATGGGGCACTGGTGGATGAGCGTGTGAATCAACTGTGGAGTTGTGTGGAGCTTGGAAGTCACCTCTTTCGGGCTTGATGCAAGAGAAAGAGTCCCATGATATGGATGACCAGAAGAGTGAAAGCTAGAAGCCATGATGAGCAAGACCGTTGCTGCTGCTACTCGAAAAACACATTGTCCTCCACTTCAAGATTGGCAATTCACAAACAGAAGAACTGGATAGATGGGATCAAACGAGTGAAAAGAGAGAGGGAGAGAGGGATCCAAACAGAGGCAACATAGTGGGGATGGGGGATATTTATTTATATGGCCCTCGGGGAGGAGTTGGGTTTGTCCCATTGTTTGATATATCGATACCCACTGCGAGGATGGAGTAGAGGTAGAAAGAGTTTTAGCGATTGTAAATGAAATGTTTTTCTACCTTATGGGGTGGGGTTTTATGCTGAACCAATAGAAAACTGCCACATAGACACTGTATTGTGAGTGATATACGCTGCTGTAATTCCACCCTTTTACGAATTGCACACTATAGCTTTGTGAGTTCGCATCTAATTCTATTTATATTCCCTGGTCTTCACGCACTAATTAAATTGATCGCACCATTGGCAACCGTCCGATCGAGTTTAGTTCTTGGTAAGAATCTTATTGATAAACCCACGTGGCTAACGTAGTCTGTACAGTTCTAAAGAAACCTGTATACTACCTACGTGGGACAAAAAAGTCCTCCAGATTGTATTAGTTCAGTATGGGCTTGCCCTTAACCTCCTCATTAGGCCATTTGTTTCTTTCGCGTGGGCCTTGGACTACAAAAGAGAATGCTCTTCTTTGTTCTGGAAGAATGCATGTAGGAAAAGCTGGATTGGCTCTTTAGCTCTGCCAGTATAATCACGGCTTCAAACCCGTATCATTTATTACTTTAAACCCCTATTTTTTAAATGATTAATATAACTAATGAAAATGCAAAACTAAATTCAAGATAAAACCATAAATATAAATACCTTTACCTATAAGATTTCATAACTGTACAACCTTTGTGTTATATATATATATATATATATATATTACATTTGTGTATGTTCCTATATGGCTAGTGTTGTGATGGTGTTGGGTCTTGGACTGTCAAGCCCGAAACTCCGACTCCACAGCCCCAGATTCACAAGCTCTCCAATCTCGACTTCCACATCTCCTTTGAGAATTACACCAAGCAAGTCTACTATTTTCCGCCATCTAGCAGGGATGATCTTGTTGCGAGCTTGAGAGCTTCGCTGTCCAGAGTGCTTGCCCCGTTTTATGTCTTGGCAGGGCAGGTGTGCAGGGTGGAAGATGGTCACAAGCTGGAGGTGGATTGCAATGACGCTGGCATCTTGTTTGTGGAGGCGGGTGCCCCCAATGCCAGCTTCAGTGATTGGAAAAGCATGGCATCTTGCTCCATCGAGCAGCATCTCAATCCTTCGGAAGTGGCCATCACAGATCCAGACACTGCTCCGGTCTTCAAAGATTAGGCAGGTTTCTTGATATGGCAGTTAATTCTTCAATATTTCATGGAATTCCTGAATATAGGTGACAAAGTTCAAATGTGGTGGGATCGCATTGGGGATCTTAACGGCCGAAGTGATGCTGGATGGATCGTCATTCTTTGCGTTTGTGAATGCTTGGTCCAAAATCCACTGAGGCCTGCCGCTTTTGAGGTCTCCAGTTTAGGCACGATTTTTTATGTTTGTGAATGATGAGCCATTCGCACTTGTGCTTTATATAAAAATATTTTAAAACATGTATTTTAATTTTTGTGACTGCTGCATTCACACTTGAGTAGTTTTTAAGTTATTTTAAGCTTTAAGTATACATTTTAAAACATTTTCATTCCCACTTGCAAAGGTTTTTGTGGTAAAAATTTAGTGACATAGAGCACTAGTGACTTCACACCTGACTATGTCTTCAAAATACATTCGAACATGTTTTAAAATATTTTAAAATTTCAAATTCAAATCAAATTTGAAATGCTAACCCTAAATTTCAATTTTAAATTTCAAATTTCAAATATTAAACTTGAACATAGCAATCACATAGTTCTATGACAATGCAATCATATGAAGTTGGTTAGGTTTTCTTGGACCTCCTATGCATCCTCTGGCCCATGCAAGTCTTCTTATGGTTTTCACTCAGCCACGACAGGATCCCCGTAATATTAACAAATCTTTACTTCCTTCAAGACTTGAATGTATCTCTCCCATGCTTTAATCTTAACATTGATGTTTGTCTCACCAACATCAATCAAGAAGTTGTGGAAGATGCAACAACCTTTGATGATGTTCAGTAAATACTTTAGCTTGATCCTTGCATCTGAATTTCATTTTCAGGAGTTCAAATGCTTGTTCAATAACAATCTGGGCCAGATAGTGTTGCTGGTTGTACTCCGCCTCAGTCACCATCAACCGGGAACCTATTTCAAATGAATAATTGAAAAAAAAAAAACAATCAACTTACCTAAGTGAGGGATCATTAAGTGCTACTATAGCTGGTAGCCCTTGTCTCCCACCAGGTATGGCTCAATCCACTCATCAAAAGCAAACTCTAAGGAATTGTGAGTAATTCCCTTGCTTGGATCTTGTGGCATAGCTTAGAGTTCCGAAAAACCCTCATATCATGAACACTCCCTGGGGAAAAAAATAAACCAATTAGATATATAGAAGAAAAAAATTAAAAGTAATTACCTGGCCAGCCAATACTCAAGAACCATTTTTGAGCATCGTAAACCCCTTACAAGATCACTAAGTACCACTGCTTTCGATCAAAGTAGCCCTCACCATCCGGGCCAACTGGTTGGATAATCTCGAAATGTGTACAGTCGATTGCCCCAGCCACATTAGGGAGATGGGTCTTGGTGATTTGTTGAAAATCTTCTGCCATAACTCTAACCTCTGCTGCTGTCTCTAGGAATTGAATATTGTACCTGAGGCACTTGACGATTGCAGCAATTGTCTGCACCACAATGTCATGTGCAATGGCTTCTCCAATCCCAAACTTGTCAGACAGGTCGGAGTAGTTAGTGTTCTTGAACAACTTGTACAAGACGAACATCCACTAGCACCGCTCTCCCAAACTTCATATCCTGCTTGCAGATTTCAGCCTCTAGAATGCCATAAAGCCATGTCATCTTCTCCATCCTTAGCTTCTGCTTTCATCAACAGGGGTCATACAACTCCATGAAGAACTTACTCCATGTTGTCATACACCATGGCTTCACCCACTAGAGACTGGTGTCAAGTCGCTTGGATAAGACTACTTGACGAAGCTTGTTTTCATCCTCCTCCTCGTTTGGAAGAGTTTGTGCCACCAGGGTTTTGTCATTGATGATGGATTGAAAAGCCTCCACGGTGAGAAGCAAAACTTGTAAAAGAAGCAAGATTACTTGTTCCTCAACAAGGCATCGATGACTGCTGCCTGATTGTTGAAAGAATCACGTTCTTCCTGAGCATCTCTCTGGTTTTCCCTAGAAGCATGTTCTATTTCCTCGGTTTGAACTATTGCAAGATCCCGAAAAGAAAAAAGGTTAGAAGAAATCTAGAATATCATAGCTTAAACATAGTTTAGTTTAATATTAATAATTAACGTCCCCCTAAAATCCTGAAAACAAGACAGCTAACTCCTGGATGCAGCCCCATTCAAGAAGTTGGAGATGGAGTTTGCAAGGTTGGAGATGGCTCCAACTAAAACTATTGCAACTGCAGCCTTTTCCTTCTCAACTAGGCTATTCTCCTTCATGCAAACAATGCTCTTCTTTTGCCATGCTAGATTCTACTCATTTCGAGCAGCAACGAGAGCATTCCCCTCACCAAGCAAAGTATTCATGCTTTTCTCGGCCTTCTTTGGGTTGTTCCGCTTCTCTGAACTCCCTATCACCTATGTAGCATCTCCAGGAGGATCAACACCATCTGTGGGATCCTCCTCGTGAGCTTCCTCCTCCAAAGCATCTAAATCAGCAAGAGAAACGTTGGAGATGTTGATGCTTGCTTTGCCAAAAATTCATCCATGATGTTGAAGTACTCTATTGGGAACACCTTCAAGTTCAGCTTCACTGGCATAAGCCACCTCACATCCTCATGGCTTAAGCTAAAGTAGTCGGGGTTCCTAGTTTTCCTCTGGAAATCACAAATACACTTGTAGTCGTTGCAAAGGTTGTTCCAGCAAGTCCAACAAGCCTTCCAGTCCCATTGCATGCCAGCAGCTTGCATCTTCTTCACAATCCTCTTTTAGCGAGTAGTTGCTGTAATTGTCATCTCCTTGCTGCCCCACACTACCCCAATCTTTCAAGGTGATCTTCCCGTTTGAAGTCAATGAAGGAAGCCATCTCATCATCCCCCCAGTTTTCCCCATGTTTCTTCTTCAGTTTCTTCGTGACATGAACACCCACCTCCCTTTCCTCGTCATCATCACCCTCCTCTTCATCACCCCCATCATCTTCTTCCACCTCTTGTTCAACGGCAATGTCATCCTACTCCTCCAAGTTATGAAACCATAGCTGCATGTACTGCTGTCCTGGTGATTGCTCCTGCTCCAGGTCACTTGCTTTGCCACCCTAAACCCGAAACCACTCTCCTAGAAACTTTCAGCTAAACTCAGGATGAAGCTTACCTTGCTGGTTGTTGTAGAAGAGAATTTAGAGAACAATTGAGTTCTAGAAGCCATGGGAAAGGATCCAGCTCCCCATGCTCTAGTTCCCCATGCTATAGCTCCCTGTGCTCCAGCTCTAGGTCCGCCCTTATTGAGGCCAAGATTTGCGAGCTCAGCATCTCTATGGCCTCGGCCCCGAGGCAGCTTGCCTCCTCGAGTGACAGCTGGGCCTAGTGTCCGTCCTCTAGCCCCAAATGCTCCTCCACCACAGTTGCTCCTCACTCCATGAGCAACACCTCTGTGCTGGATGCCGCTGCCCCAAACCCACACCATCTCCTCGTCAAACCCTACAACTCCTCCTTCCCAAAATCAGCTGCTCCTCCTTCCTCCACTGAATCCCCAACATGATCTAACCCTAGGGTGATGATTGCTGTCGGCTCCCCCGCCATCAATGCCTGAGCTCACGGCAATCCTAGCTCACAGCAAAAAACTGAAATGCCCTAATCATGGGATTGGAATCTTTGGGGAATCTTAGAGATTCCTTTTAAAAATATTTTAAGATTAAAAGAACCCCCCCCCCCCCCCTCCATCTTTTAAAATTGATTTTCTTTGGTCTAAATGTTTTAAAAAGTGAAAACATTGTGTTAAAGTTAGCACTATTTGCGAATGAAAATGTTTTTAAAAAATATCCTAAATTTTAATGTAAAGTAATTTACTTTATTTTAAAACATAGTGTGAATGTATTTTTCACTTAAATTTAACACATTTCAAAAATAAAAAGCAGGTGCGAATAGCTTTTTTCAATAACTTTTTTCAGTCTTTCTCATGCTTAAGTTTTTGCTTTGGAGACTTCTTTAGGTCAGAACTTGCCTCCCACAGAATTTGCAAAATGTGTGTACTGGTAAGGTAATTGTTTTTTTTCTTTTCTTTATGTTAAATTGTGCTATGAGGGTGGCTTTTCTCTGAGTTGTGGTGACTAGGTCACCCATGACAATGTGCATGTCTTGGACATATCCATTATGTCGCACTACACAATGCACTCTCAGCTTCCATTTTGCAAAATTTTTCACATTCTATTTCATTGGTATAAGTTTAAATTTCTATTAGAAACTACAAAGTATTTGGTTCATCATTTTTTTATTTTCATGAGAAAAAAGGTGTTTTGGATTGTTATATCTTTATCCCTTTTATAAAAATAATCTTACTTTAATACCAAAAAGGTATTTACTCATTTAAGTTATGTACTGCATAGAATATTTTGGAATTTTTATACATTTAACCCACCCTTTGGTGGTCCACAATATATAAGAATTTCCTAACCTCCCTCTGCAGTCCATTTTTAGTTTGGGCTAGGTTTAGAAGAGTGTTAGTAGCTATGGTTTTGAGAAAATTGTTGTGATGGTTTGGAAATACTAGCACAATTTAGCTTGCAAGAATAGATAAAAATGCTATACATATGGTTTGTTTCTCTATGACCTAATCAAGATTTCATTTTGCAATGGCAGTTGTTTGAGATCCAAGAGTTTAGGAACATGTCTAGACCAACCTTGATTTCCATGGTTTTTGGAAAAATCAAGATGATCTTCTACTTGCCAATAGGTGCATGATTGTTTTCAGGTTGTTGTGGTTGCTCCAAAATACACACACACAAGCCTAAAGAGGATCATAACATCTTTGTTTGTTATTGGATAAAGTAGGGTAAAGCACAAATATAACAAGTGCTTGCTCTTGTGTTGGTTGGGAGGCTCCCCCAACCTTTAAACCACATGTCTTGGTTTCCATGGTTTTTGGAAAAATTAGGATGATTTTTTGCTTGCCAATAAGTGCACAACTATTTTCAAGTTATTGTGGTTGCTCCAAAACACACACACACAAGCCCATCATCTGCAAG